CAGACAGACAAGAAAAGTGAGTTCATAAAAACGTGGTAAAAAATATATATTCAGGCTCTAATTAAACAAGCAGGTGAAAATTTGAACAAAAAATTAAGCATAATTGAGTTTACACTGTAATAGTCTACGTTTCAAATTTTAGAGTTCATTTTCTAGAATAAATACTGTATATTTTTGTGCATAAAAAAACTAAGTCGAATGTGTGGATTTTTTTTCTTCAAATTTTAATCTCAAAGGTTAAGATGCGTTTTTTTACTTTGAGAGGGGATTCCTGTACTCAAGTGATTACGGGAGGATAGCCACACAAAAGAGCAAGTTTAAAAATATTGATTATATTTTCCATAATTTGACGGGTAATATTTGGAAGCAATTCTATGTATTCAAAACGTTTTTTTTCTGTAATAAAAAGCATGACTCGTTAATTTTATCAAATTGTTCCAATCAAACCTCAACAAATTGTAAAGGTATACAATATATGGAAGAAATTAATTCCTGCGTAAGGAATGCTAACGTGATAGAAAAAGGAAGAACGAGATCATTGTAAAAATTTCAAACCTTTTCAAAATCAGAGATTAATATCTTCAAATGTTAGCCATTTTTTTATAGAATATACATTTCAGAAGAATATTTATTGAAGTAAGTTTCCGAAGTGAATCTGGCAAAAGAAAATTGCCACACCAAAAGTATCGACATTTTTGGAATTTAAATTATCTTCCAGGTGTTATTAGAAAGGTTCTATGTAAAGTATCTGTAATTCAACATTGTTCAATTATTTCATCCCATCAGAGAAGTATAATTTTTACAGGGATCGTGTGCTTCACTGGGGTTTCGATTTTTTTTTTCTTATTCCATTTTGAGCTCCATTCTTCTTTTGTTGGGGATTCAGTTTTCCGTTCAGGTCATAAATCTAAGTCAAGTTCTTGATGACGTGCTCAAAAGCGCGGTATATTTCAGAGGTGCGAAATGCGAATGAATCATGAGCGGAAGTGAGATTTGTTTTCCGGTGCCAGAAACATCAATGGTGTATGTAGGCGTGTCGAATTCTATTTTTGTCTCGCGACATTAGCATGAATGACGCCAACAACTTCAATTTCGTTCAGCAAACGTTTTTGAAAATGTTCCAGTTTCATTTGAACACCGATTTTGACTTGTGTGTAATCTTCTCTGTACTTAAAATTTAATTTTATTGCTTATGAGGTAATTTTCGTCATCGATTTATGAATAGGATTATTCGTGGCGCGAAATGGTTGAATTCAAATAATTTTGTCTTACATATTAATTGTAATATAGTGTGATAAAGTGAACCTCTTCGGGTCGAACTCCAAGACAAGTCCAAAGGATTTGCATGAAAAATAAAAATAAAAATTAGGCGTTTTCCAATTAGTGAAGCTTGCATGTTTTGCAAGAAAGAATAATAAGAATGGCAGGAAGTTGAAATTGATCATCTTCTGGGTTAATGAATCGACAGGATGCTGAAATCTTAGGCAATGGTTACTTTGCCTAATTCGTTTTGAAAAGCATCGAGTTGAATTTTTTAAATTTCTCTTCCCCGGGTCCCCTTAATAATAGTCTTAATTTCTCCAAAAAGTTCGAGTTCCAGAGGTTTGAGAGGGGAAAGTCTTTGAGCTATGAAAAAGATATCAATAATTAATACATTAACCGTAAAGGAAACTCAGGTATAGTGACCAAGTGACAAATACTTCAACGTTTGGAAATTTTTTGACAAGAGAAGGTTCAAGTCATTTAGCTCCAATTTTATAATTTTTTTGTTTGTTTCGTAACAGATGGCGTGAATCACATCAAATTTTGTGTCCCTCGCATTCGCTTCCCGCTGATTGAATGCATTTTTTAGGGTTCATCCTTCCGTGAAATGGGCAATTCTCGGGAAAATCTGCGGAATTTTCTGTTCGCATTTTTATTTATTTATTTATTTTTATTTTATTTGTTTGCATCAGGTGACCGGCATACCAACTCGCTACCCAGGCCGAGTTACGGTGCCCCGAGTCATCACCCGGCGGGTTACTACACCAACGACCGTTCACTGAGGAATTCCTACGCTGGCCCGTCTTCGTCTTCGTCCCAAGCACCAGACTTCTACTTCATGCCATCACAGAGAAAGTACTCTGGGGAAATTGTCAGGGTTTATGTCGACTACAACCAGCAGCATAAATAGGAAGCATCGTCATCTCGTTTTTTTTTTTTT